CACACACACACACACACACACACAACAGCAAGGCATGTAAGGAAGCCAGACACTAGGTTTCTAAATCAGAATGTGGGACAATGCATTTCTGATTGAGGTGTACATTTTAATCCTACAGCATAAAAATATTTGCAGTAACCATTTGTTCCCTCTCCTACGAAGTTTTCTTTTTTAAGGGAAAAACCCAAACCCAACCATTCCCCATTCTTACTTTTCCTTCCTGAGGTATAAATGACTGTACCTTAACTGCGTAATCTATCTTCAGGTGATCCAGCTGGAGGAGGTACGATGGTTTTGTTTTATCTTACAAGTCACAGCTTTGACAACACAAAGAATCTATAAAATGCAACAAACAATATTCCTGCAGCCCTGAAACACAACAGTCTGCGTAAGAGACTCACAATGAACCATCTGGAGGAGCACGCTCGAGATTTCCCAGCTTTCTGCCCGACAGTTTCTCCTCTAGCCTTGGAAAATGTGCACAGGTACGCACAGTTTACTATTTCTCATTCTGCCTATCTGCATCCTGCTCTCCTCATGTTGATAGGAAGATTTAGTCACACTTGTAAACTGGAACGCTCGCTTTTCAGTAGAGGCCTGCACTGATCTGACATTCCTTCTCGCATCTGTACTTTAAAATCAGTATACAGAATGTATTAGAGCTGCAGAGAAAGAGCATGGTTTCATTTTCTTTCTTCACTGACCGCTCTGCTGAGTGAGGATCAGTGCAGAACACAGGAGGAATGTTTCAAAAGCCAGTACATAAAAAAAGAAAACTGATGTTTACATTGGACTTTGTATCTCCATTCCCTCTCCAGTCTAAGCTACATGAAACACCCATTTTGTTCAAAGTCAGGTGAGAACAGTGGATGAAGCATTTTATCATAGCTTGTATGTAACAAGAGCTTTTTCAACTCACTCAAATAAAAGCATTTAGAAAGCATCAAGATCTGATGGGACTTACCCAGATAGGTATTTATCAACAGCAGCTTAGAAATTAAGTAGTCGATTAAAAAACAACAGCAAAAAAATTTGAATGAGTTACTGTTCACCAGGATTTTCAACCAGCTTAAAGAAAATACAGTAGAACCTCACTGGTCTGCACTTAGGACTGGGAGATTAAGTGTACATCACTTCACCATGACCATTTTGCAACATTCCAGTGCTAAGAGTTAAGCCAGGACAATGCACTTCAACCCCTGTGTCCTGTTCACATCAGTGGTGTGTGGCAATTCAGCTTTATCTCCTATCATACGATATAAATGTACTTATTTAATGGAAAAAGTCAAAATGAGGTAGCACTGCCACTCTTTTTTGCTGAAATGTGGACAGATCCTGGCCTAAATTTATATGGTGGCTCAGCAAAATTCTCCTGTAATCTACACAAAAGGTATAAAACACGAACCTTTTCCAGAATAAGGCCACTAATTTTGCCATTGGCAACAGGCAGTGAGAAACAGCAGTTAAAAAACTTGATTATAGAAGTGTTTTTGAGGCAATAAACTGTGGGGAGAAGTATAAACACATGGTCCTCGTGCCTCCTCTTTGCTTTCCAGTATAAGTATCTCTGCTTGCTGTAGGTGCTACTCCACGGGGAGAAATTTCAGTCTATTTTCTTAGCTGGGAGTCTAAGGAGATTGACGCTACATTTAAAGATGGGGACAGCAGCGTAGAACAGCAGGATTACCAGCTTCCCATGGGTCATGGTCATGACAGTCTGATGTCCAGATGCCCAGATTCTATACCACGGCCCATAAAAAGGATCCGAGACGGCTGGGCACAACATGTTGTTCAAATTCACTTCTGTAACCTGAGAAAGTGACAACGAGTTTAGAAATTAACAGTATTTTTTTGTGTTGTGCTAATTCAGACACCTAAAAATTGTAATTTTGAAATTACTGTATTAATCAGAAACGTTTAGGTGACAATCCTTTGTTCAACACAAGTAGGGCAGCTTTCAGAAGGAAAACGGATCCAAATTCAGTTGTGCGTTTAATAGATGGATTTATGCAGGTACAGAACCAACTTATGAAATATTTTACCGATACTTGTGAGATATGCGATGCAAATGCCTATTAGAAAATGCGATAAAAATTTGCATGCAAGTAGTCTTATCCATGTATATCTGGCCGCTTTGAAAAACCAGTTAGTGTTTTCACTTTGAATGTACTTGCAATCTATCCATTTATTAACCCGTGTTTACTTACCAATCCCAGAATCTGCAAGATGCTAAAATGATATACAAACATAAACCCCGTGGATAAAAGAGCCCACCAGAAATTGCAGAGTGGTTCTGGAGTGTAGATACCTTGAAAAGAAAGGAATACATTAGTGTTCAGCTGAATGGCTGTGTCCATCAAATACTCATGAATAATCCTCTCTCTTCTCCTCTGTGGATGTTAGGGCATCTGGCTTTAGCTGATAACCTCCTCAGTACCATTACAGTAATTAATATTTGAGAGCCTTATTTCTTACCTGGAGCATCCTAATCAGTCTCTTCCCTCCTCCTGGTCAGCAGGAGAATGTACAGTATGTTGCCTCATCAAGCTTGCCTATTTTTCACCAACACCAGTGATTTTTACCTCATTCTTCCTTCTACCCCAGAAGGACTACATGATTTTAAAATACAGGAATGGTATCCATTGAATCTTCAAAAATCAGGTTATTTATACTTAAACACCTGCTTCTTACGGGGCCTGTAACTTCAGCATGCACAGAACTAACACAGGTAGTGGCAGTTCCTGCACGGCTCGATAGTTGAGCACAACCTACTTGTCACTTCCTAATTTTATCTATGTAAAAGTAATCTTGCTCCAATAATGCCAATAAATATTCAAAGATCATATGGTGAGAACAAAAACAGTTTACAGGGCTCTCAAGACTCTTATTAGCAGATGTGAAAATTTCAGTGTAAGATACGGGGCAAATATTATTTTCCTTCCAATGCAATAACTAACCCAGGGATGCAAAAGGCGCACAATGTCACGCTGCTCAGCTGTTCTAAGAAGTTGTAATTTCAGATGATTATAAAAGCACACTGGCCTTTTATCAGCCTTTGCTCTCTGACCCATTATTAGATACTGGAACTGTATCCAGCACTCACAGGACCGCTTGCAGCACACGGCAATGCTCACACCAGCCGTTGCTAGCCAGCACATGCAGTCATTACCAGGAAGATCCAGCAGACTTCAGCATTTACTGTACAAGCACACACTCAAATAACCACATGTGAACTCACCCGACTAAAGCTGGTTTGAGTACACCTGTGTACGGAATTGTGTGTAGATAAAGGCAAATAACTGCTGGAACTTGCTTTATCACACCGCCGTGTTACACTGCATCCTGCCCCAGAGGTTTTGAATCCCTTGAGGGCTGCTTTCCCTCAAGCATTGCTTTCTCAATCCCTGTTGTCCTTTTACAATTCTTCGCTGCGGTTTTCTTCGACAGTTTGTACCCATCGTGCCAGTGCTGTTTGATTTTGCAGTAGCTACCTGAAATGACCTAATTTAAATATCACTTTGTGATTGCCGCAAATTCAAAATCACCCACACTTCCTTGTCTAAAACTGTACCTCTATTCATTGTCCACTCAAAATACCACAGCTTGGCTGCTGCTACTCAACAGAGAGCACCGAGCTGACTGTACACTTGAATGACAGCAGCACATACGCACCCCATGTATCACTCACTGACTTTAATGAGCAGCAGGATCAGTGTAATTACCCAAGATAAAACTGCACACCGGGTTTTAGTAGGCAACCACGATAAACACAAGCAGAGAAGCTACTCTAAAAGCGTAAGGCAGCTTACAAGATTTCTTATCCAGTGGGTAGGTGAAGGTCAGGAGAAATATCTGAATTATCAGCAAAAGTAAAAGTGAACTCCACATGAATAACTTTTAGTGAAGTGTTCCATAGGTGAAGGGACAAAATTCACAAGTCTAATTCTTCAAACACACTTAGGAAGCATGATCCAACAGCTGGCATCCTATTTAGAAAACAGTACAGGAGACTTCACTTAAATAGCAATGATACCCATTAAAATCCACTGCCTGAGAGCATCAGGTACACGACAACACCTTTAATATGGTTTTTCATTACAGAGAGCAAGAGAGGCAACGATGAGCCTTGGTGTCAGCGTTCAGGAGACCACGGCTCTGTTTTGGGCTGCACTAACTTTAAGTGCCATGGTCAAGCTACACAGGAACCCTTTGTGCTCCCTCCTCAGCTGTAGAGAAAACATCATTTGACTTGCAAAGGTTTTTTTGTACTGTCTTTGCAGTTTTAGGTGCATGTTTAAGCTAGATGCAAATCACAATATAAAATTTAAATAAGGCTTCTAAAACAGCTCCCAGAAACTGGCAGATTAGCACTACACCAAATTTCATTTCACGTGAACGCGCCTGGTTGGCAGTTGCCCGTGTTATTTCCAAAGTGTTCAACAAAGCCTGAGAAGAAATGGTCGTGGTCTAAAGAGGAAAACACTCAGAAAAGCCAGAACCCAAAGATCTTGGTATCTGGGGGACTTACAGTGCAGGAGATACAGAAACACTAAAACAGACCCGTGAATCCAGCTATGAAACAAGACTGGAGGGAGAAAGCAGTCATTAAAAGACAGACAACACTGCGTAGGTGGCAAAACAGATCAGTGGCATAATTTGGCTTTGAAGCCAAGCTTCTGATGTCCAGCTTCAATCGAGTCAGGGAATCGGGTTTCAAAATTCACTCAGGAGAGCTGCTCAGGTTCCTGCAGACAAGAATGTCACAAAACTTTAAAAAATATATTAGCAACTCTCACCCTCTACAGGTTTTTGATCTCGCTGTGTAATAGAAAAATCCCTCCTTGCTAGACTTTGCAGTCCTGAAAATAATAGTGCAATTTTCAGCAGCATCATTATTTGGACACCGAGGGACTAAAAGGAAACAATGACCTCCACACAAGAACATTTCACAAAGCTCTGTATTCCCAAGTGTCCTTTGGGAAACTAATTTTAAATTCCTACCTGGGATATTTTCTGTACCTTTCTCATTAGTATAGATTTTATTACTCTGCTGCCCTGCTATTCAGCAGACGGCTGTTTAAGGGAGCAATGTGCTCTATTTTCTGTAGCACATGGTCTGAAACATGCAAACAGGAAAAGTGAGATCCAGCTGAGGGGCTGATTCAATGGCCTGGGTTGTTTTTGGCAAAAGCTACTCAGTGCTTTCACAGGAAATCAAATTCAATAGGTAGCAGTGAGTTTCGCTTTCTGTTCACCAAGCAATCGGTGTATGTCAAGCTCTGAGCACAAGCAATTCTTGTATGTTAAGCGCTTTGAACAATTTAATCCAACGGCCAGTCTGGCACTGATCTCATTCCCAAAAATGCTCACGCCCTGGACAGTTGAGACCATTCCAAATCAGGGGCATCCAAGTAGGCTGCAGATTTGCTCATGTTGAAATAGCACGGCAGAGGATATGTCAGTTTAAATTAGACATCATTATTTTCATAGCATTGATAGGAAGGATTTCACATAGACTGAAGTGTTTCGGGTTCATCGTCTGCTTCTGCAACAAGAGTTTGACCATGGACATGACAAGTGGTTAATTTTGCCATCTAGGAAATGGAAGCATGGCTTTAAAAATCTAAAGCCCAACAGAGACTCAATTCCTTTTACACTGCCTCCCTCCCCAGTGTCCTGTGCCCATTCTAGTGTTCTTACATACTATTTTTTTAAAGTTCTCAAAACACAGATCTGTACAAATCTGAACGTGACTTCATGGTAAGTAATACTCCTTTTGCACTCTGAAAACATAATGCAGGAGAAAATTACTCCTCTGCTTGAATTAGAGAATTAGAACCTAAATATACTACGATTGTTTCATTTCGTAGGGTGTTAAAATAATCTCTTTTTCCCAATTAACGTCTTGCTTTCATTCCCACTACATTCAATAGAGCTTTACCAGGTTTCCAGCCCAGCACACTCCCCTTCAGTAGTCTCAGTTACAGGCAGACCTGCTTAGCCCAAAACACAGAGCAACTGTTACAATTCCTGCCTTTTCAAGCTTATTGAAATGTCAGGGTGAATTTATTTCCATTTTATTTCCAATTTATTTCCATTTTATTTCCCTTGATCCAAGGGTTAATTCTAGCAGCAAGGCCTGCTGAGCTAGCCTAGAGACCAACCTTCATTCTCAGGAGGATGAGCCTGAAACCTGCTGTTTCCTTACAGTGGTTCTGGGTCTCTGTGCAGATTTCAGAATATTGCCTTATGCCAGCAGATTTCTGTTTCCATCAGTGCCAGCTCAGACCAGGGTCTTATTTCACCTGCTCCTCTCAGAAACCATTTTTTATATTCCATAAAGAAGCAGAGCAGCAGTTCTTCCTCCATATAGAAGTAGTTTTTTCCACATACTGGTACACATCCTTCTAACCTTCTCTATCTTTTAGAAATAAATCTTAACAGACCTTGAGCCCACCCAGAGAATGCCACAGTAACTTCATTATTGATTTTGAAGTGTTTACATCCAAGTAATTAAGAGTTTCAGTGAGAGAGCTGTACAGCACGTTATCACTTCAGTGAGGATGAACTACACTGATGACTACCTGACTATATTAAAATATACAGTGATTTTTTTTCCTGGATTACTACTGAGGTATATGATAAACCTTGCTTTGTAACTCCATTTAAAAGGTAAGGAAAGACATAGCTAAATACAGGTAAGCGTCACAAAGTGGGGAAGTGGCTGAGAAAGGGCACGACAGCTAGAAATGTCTTCAAATACGGCCATCCCTCACTCTTGCCAGTAATTCCTAACAGCCAATGGAAAGCACCAGTTGAGATCTGCAATTGCTTTAATTGCTCCCTCCTAATTTATAGCCACAGGAAAAATGATCCTTTCATCCATGCTCCGTATCTGTGTTCTACATCTCACAGCTCAGCCCAGCCTCTCCTCAGGTACGAGGCGCTGCACTGGCTATACAGACCTGCTCTGAAGGGAAGGAGGCACGGTCCATGAGGGGAAAAATAATAAATCACCAACTTCTACTGACTTTCTGAAGTAGAATGAAAATTCTGACTCTATTCCCAGCAAACAACTCACCTCCTACTTCATTCTTTAGGGTGTGTGTATCTTGTGCACAGCTGCACAACAGTGAATCGGCTCTTAAAACACGTGGAGCCAGACCACAGGATTGACCAAAATCTGCAAGCCCATAACTGGCAGGTTTGGCTCCGGAAGAAGATTCTGCCCCCCCAGAAGAATACAACTAAAATAAATTTACTTTCTCCACAGTGTGGACAACCTGTATTTGAATTGTGAATCTGCAATTCATTTCAAAAGCCATTTGGGCAGAGCGGATGCTGGAGACCATCTCCCCCTGCAGGCCTCAGTGTGGGAACCACACCACCACTGAGGGACACCCAGCACTTCAGCTACAGCTCTTCATACAGCAGATTGCTCTTTCAAGTGACAAAATCCTTAAAAATTCTCAACACTAACATCCTTTTCTACTTCCTTAAGCTATTAAGTCAACTAAATAACACTGGAGATCTCAAAATCTCCTGAACCCCACTGCTAGGGAACTGCTATAAATTAACCATTATTTCAAACTGTTGTGGAATGATACAACTTGCTCACAGCACTCTGGAAGTAACCATTCCACTTTGATTAAATTTCAGTATGATTTGAAACTCTGGAATAAGGTGCATATCTAATCCTGTCAAACCTGTCCACAGATCTGATCAAACTCACTTAAGGACCAAGAGAGTCCAGAACTGCAAGTCTCTGAGGCTGATGCAGTGCCAACTAGATTCTTTTAAAGTATGTTAAGAGTATATAATTAGAAGAAATAAGTTGTCCTGAACACCACTGAAGGTCTCTAATATCTTCCTCTTAGAAGGTCAGGTTAGTGCGTTGTTGCAATAGTTGTGGCAGTTTGGGACATTACACTTCCTCAGCTGCCATCTCCCTAAGCCTCCTATCGGCAATCTGTGCCCCAGGATACTTATCTGAGCACAGTCCTATGCTTCAGAAGACCAGCTCGGTTGTAGATGACAGTGGTTTGAGGAGTTTTTCAATGAAGGGGTTGGTTCCATGGTCTAAATCCATGGTCTCTGCTATACAAAAAAGATGCAGACAGGTTGGAAGGGGTTCGGAGAAGGGTCATGAGGATGATCAGAAGACTGGAAGACCTGCGGTATGAAGAAAGGCTGAGAAAAGTGGACCTGTTCAGCCTTGGTAAGAGAAGGCTTAGGGGAGACCTTATCACCATGTACCAGTACATAAAGGGTGGCTGCCAAGAAGATGGAGACTCCCTTTTCACAAGGAGTCACATGGAGAAGACGAGGGGTAATGGACACAAGTTGCTTCTGGAGAGATTCTGACTGAACTCCAGAAGAAATTTCTTTACCATGAGATCAATCAGACAACAGGACCATCTCATAGGGGAAGTGGTAAATTCCCCTACACTGGTCAGTTTTGAGAGTCAGCTTGACAGGGTGCTGACTCATCTCATTTAAACTATGCTTTTTCCTCGAGAGGTTGGACTGGATGATCCTTGTGGTCCCTTCCAACCTGGTATTCTGTGATTCTATGAAATCTGCACTGCTGTGGTTCTGGTCGTCTTCCTCCCACCTTGACCAGTTCATCCATTGCACCTCCTTTTCCCAGTCCTAGCACTCATCTGATCCAACACTAAACCAAGCCAGAAGCTACGAAAGCCTTCACACTTTTTTTGAACAGGGAAGCAATGGTCTCGCCTCCCAAGGACGAGAGAAATCAGTGACCTACAGCTCTGGTTCAGCCTACCCAGCCATTTCAGAAATGCTGTGTCCTGCCCAGATCCATACTATGATTTTTGGCAGGGTTCACAGGTGATACAAGGTGAGATTCATTCAGCAAAACAGTTGCCAACTGCAGAGATAATTCCTATAAGAACTGCCTTGAGGTAGGAATCTTCTATGCTGGCCTCTTACATCTCCACTACATCTGTTTTGCATGAGAGCCAATTAGTGCAGCCAAGAAAGATCTGAGCAGTAGCACTAAAGCATTTATTTTGTCTAGCCTGGCAAGCATGAGTATGTATACACACACACATACATGCTTGGAAAGAAACCATGTTAGAAAGAGAAGTATGGAAATTTATATTCACCTAGTGCAGAGGGTAGGAGTGGGAACAGAAAGAGGTCTTAATCCCCAAGAAGAAATACATCCTTGAGCTTCAGTGAGCTCACTGGCAACACTGAAGCCTGAGCTCCACAGGTCTCTCATCAATTTGATTCTAAGCATGGTAAAGACCCCACACTTACATGGGGGAGGGTGAAGGTGATGCTGCCAGTGCAACGTGACCTGTTTGCACTACTGTAACGAACAGCAGGGGGAGAAAGAGGAGAAATTATTACAGCCCTTGCTTACCATCACCCGATTTGCTTTCATAAAGGAAACACTTCAACAGGTAATTTACTGTGTGCATGACCGGTATGATACGCACTGGCACATCCACAAACCTGGACAGGAAATCAAGTCTGCTCAGCCTTCCTTTGAGAAGTGTTAATATTGACTGAGATCCTATTAAGGCTATCAGCAATACTGGCAGATTCCCAGTAAAAGTGCAGTAGTACATTTTTCCGAACACAATCCATTCCTTGTCATTTCCCCAATTTTACTGCCCTTCAATTACTTCTCCCAGTCATAATCCAAAGATTCGCTGATGGAAATTGCTACTTAAAAATGCAGAAATAAAGCTGCTTGCTGATCAACATCAGTGATGAAAAAGCAATTTTCAGGAGATATAGTTAGGATAAAGGGTGTGATCTACTCAGAAAGTACTTTAAACAAAGGTGCTAGTGAAATGGCAAAGTACTAACAAATGTTAAATTTTCCATCAAGAAATCATTCATCAGGTCTCCCGTGGCACTACCCAACTACTGCAGAAGTCCAAGGGTCAGCGCAGTGAGCAGGACGCAACCACATAAGAAATGAAACATCATTAGTTACACAGCCTGGGGCAAGCCCTATTGATACCCTTAGGCAGCAAAGTGGTGTCAGAAGTGTCACCGCTATCCTGTCAACATTAGATGGCAGCAAATAGCTGAAATTATTTAATAAAGGGCAAAAAATTAGAGAACTGCACTGAAATGACAGCTGTACAACACGAAGCCCTTCCAACTGCAGAGATTGCCCTGTGAGCCCCAGAAAATGGGGGCTGAAGAACCCGGAGAGCCTTTACTTCAAACCAAACCAACCCAACCAACCAAAAAATCCCCGGAGGAACAGATCAAGTGACAACTAAGGCCAAACTTTAAAGCAAAAGAAACATCTGTCTTATAATGGTGTTACATGGGGATTTCAAGGCCACCAAAAGAAGGAATTTAATGGTATCACAAGAGCTCAGTTTGCCACTGCCCACAGAGCACTACACAGCTGCTTGCACCTTCTCCCCCCTCTCCCCGTCCCCCTTACACAATGATTCAGGGTTTGTGTAACTTCTAGAACTACCCTGCACTTCAGCATTACTTGCCAGAATTTTAAGGTATCACAGACGGATTAAAATTAAACATGACTGGGACATTTCTTTGGTAAGAGCAAGAATCAGACTGATCTTCTGAAGTGTGACACCTCACTTTTTACTTTAGATCATTTTCACTGAGTTTCACTCAGCAGTGAAAAACAAAAAAGGTTACAAACCTACAGTGAAATAAGTGTGAAGGATTATAAGTGGCTGCTGGTATAAAATACAAATGATTCACCAGAATGGAAGAGGCGGACTATGCTTGTTTTGAGTTTTGCTGTGTATCCCGTTGCTAGACATCACATCCTCAGGGTTTTCATCAAAGGCTACTGAACATTTGGACCATAAATTATTATATTTTATTTTCTGGATGAAACAATTTAGCTCTGCTAGAAAATGCAGCTGGAGGCACGTCAACACTAGAGGGGGGCAGAGCATCACACCAGCTGAGTACAGACTGCAGTCCCTGCCAAGGAATTAGGCAATTAAAAAATCATCACTGGCCAGTGGAGCAATATGGGATTCGCAGACTTACTGAACTGTTATGTGAATGCAAGATGGTAACCTTGTTAGAAAAGAAAAGAAGCAATTTAGCTCATTTCACCAATATGTGTCGCTACATTTCAGTAGAGCTGCAGAATTTCAGGAATCCAGCTAGCTGACTAATATTTATGTGGAGATCAAATAATGATTTGTTTTTCCAGCTCATTTTCAGTTGCGCAAGTTCTCAAGAGACGTCCAACAAGGCAAAAGTCTTAAGATGGCAGAGATACAATGCAAGAGGACAGAGCCATTATGCCAATACAACAGTCTTGATATTCCTTTGGGCAAAGACCACTTTAATTCCCATTTCAGTGCCTGACGCAAGTTTCTGTTACCCAGGTCAGAACTCCAACTTAACACAAGAAACTATTAAGTAACAACATACAGAAAATTGGTTAAAAAAAGAGTAAGAGTAAAGCCTGTTAGCCATTGAACGCAGCTTTTTCATTGCACGGGACGAATTCAATACGTCTAAATTGCCAACCTACCTCCTTTCTGCAGCAGATAGATGGGCACAACATAGAGCATCACATGCTGGATGTAATAAATTTCCATTTCAAATGGAAGCTGTGAAATAAGAAAAAATACTTGTAAATGTTTTTCATCACTTAACAACTGAGTTACAAGGAACCGTTCTCCTCATGAACCACTGACAATCCCTTCAGTGCAGTTATTTTATCAGATTTATAGCAACTGCATGCATGAGACTGCTAAGCTTCACCAAACATAAAATAAAATAACCAGTATCTTACTGGTTTTAAAGAGAAGATGTATGTAAACAACTTACCAGTTAGTAGTAAATCAGGTATTTCTCACTTTCTGACAACTTTTGGGAAATTACAATTAGTCCTTCATGTGTTTAGTTGAACTTGTGTTACTTCTTAGGGGAGAAATCAGACTGTGCTAAAATAATACTGTGCTAAAAATAACTTGAGCCACAACTCCAGACCCAACTAATTCAAGCTCTTTATCAGTTAGAAAAGGTGATGCACTGTATTTGAAAGTTATTCCCATCTGTAACTGCCTTTGCCTATAGCTATTTGTTAAACTACCCCACCACGTTTAAAACTGACCAGTAGTAGGAAAGATTGAAAAAATTCAGAATTCAACTTCTTGCTGCAGCTCACTTACAAAGCTGAAAAGACATCCTTTTCTGTTATTTTTAATAGACGTATCCATATATACCCAGATATATATATGTATTTATTTTATACACCACCACACGAGTATGAAATCTCACAGGAATAACACAAAGCCATCAGTTTGGGTTCAAATGCAGACTCATTCTATCACTGTACAGGCTAAAGTGAATCCAGATGCAAGTGCCACCATCATGGCTTGTCTGTTGGAAGGAAAAAAAAAGGACGGGGGAAAAAAAAGTGCCTTCCTTTTCTATTGCTGTTCTGAGACACTGAAGTCAGTGTTGAAATAGAAATATAGAAAAAAAATTCTGTGTCTACAGCAGTAAAGAGAGGTTGAAAGAAAGACTGGGTTTCTTCCTAGATAGCAGTCAATAAACAGCTGGTAATTAACATAGTGACCTTTTAAATGCAACAACAATTCTTACATCCTATTTTGAACGTAAAAGATGCTAAAACCAGTAAGTGGATCTGCTGGTCCTGGCATCCCCAGCTGGACACCATCAGTGTCCTGACTGCAGCCTCCAAGGTGTTCAGCCAACTCTTGGGAGACCAAGCTAAAAAAACCCCTTCCGTGCAATCTGTTGGGTTTTTTTATTCCAAGTATTCAGTATTAAAACATAAAATAAAGCAAAATAATAGTATACAAATGCAAGAACTTCATGGATGTTGTGAGGTTTTCTGAATCTGAATCTTTGCTGCTGCCCCTTGTTGGAAGCCACAGAGGGCAGAGTGAAGGAATCACAATTATTTGGGAAGAGCAGTTTTCCTAACTGTGGAAAAGCTGCACCTCTCCCAGTTGGAGCTGGTGCCCTTCAGAAACAACGGCTCCTGATATAAACACACAACAGGAGGCACTCACTCCTGCCAAGGAGGTTCTCTATTTAAATATCTGTGCTTTCAGAAGGGCTTCTGCGCTCGCTGAGATACAAGGGGCAGTCACGCAAACACCACGCTCAGGACACTTCTGCAAACACAGTGACAGTTGTGTTGCCGCAGTACTGTTGACAATATATGTTTTTGTGTGTAAAACAAAACATCTTTTTTTCACTAGAAAAGACTGCTTGTTCTGCAGCCTGGCTAATGATGCAAGTGTGTTTCCTGGTGTAGAGCTGCAAAAGCAGAATTTCTGTACAACCGAGCACTCAAGGCTACAACAGACAGAAAAAGAGCAAACACAAAAGGTGAATTATAAAGTTGTACTGACCACTGACACGCCTAGCTCTAAAGGTCCTGTCTATAAATTGTTTTATCAATAAAAGCCTCACTCACAGACAGCAGACAGGTATCTTTTATATGCAGAGAAACTGCAAGTAAAGACAAGGTAGAAGAGATCCACCCATCACTCTAGGATGTACATTAGTTGTTAATTTACTTACTTTTTTTGGACTAAACTGTCTCCCTTACCAGCTGCCAGCATCACTCTTGCTGCATTTCATCTTGTTTCTCTTTCTCAGAATCTTAAAACTATGGACAAAAGGACAAATTACTTATTTCTTCTACTAACTTACATTCTAGGCTCCCTTAACGATGTAAATGAATACAGAGGACAGGCTACTCTATTTATTACTCCAGTGAGGTTTTCTCCTTTAAAGATTCTTACCTGTGGCAAAGAAATTCTGCTTCATCTATTCATAGGTGGAATAGATGAATATATACAAATATACATTGGTGTAAAATCCTCTAGGTTTCAAAACACACCAATCTAACACTGACATACCCAATTCCTCTAATATACAAGATCAAAACATGCTAACAAAGTACTCTGGAAAGAACTATCTGGAGTATTCACTTCTTACTGTCTGTAATGAAGTTTCTGTTAGAAAATAAGTGGTGTTTTGTTCCTCCACGAAGAGTTTGGCTCAAAGCAGCCACATGTGGTCCTAGCCCCACAGCAGCCTGGTACAACGCAGATTTAGAAGTGCCACATTCCTTGGACAAACACTGAAGGCATTTTGGAAAGTGCCCCAAACAGTGAGCAAGAAATGGACCTCCACCCGGGAACTGGTAAGTTAAGCACAGTCTTACTGGTCTACATTGCTTGCGAGACAATATACAAGAGATGCCAGCAGTAGAGTGGAGCCCAAAAGACAGATATTCAGCTGGGCTTCTCTCAAAAGAGTATGGCGCACAATACTAGTTTAAGTTTAAACCCAGCTGGATGCAGCAGTTGGTTTTCAGTGGGCAAGGAGGTCACCACTTTGCTATTTTCTGAAATCAGCACTCCTGCCTCTGTTAACTGTTTATACCTTGACCTTACGTTTGCAACAACAGCTCAAGACCTGTCCTGTGCAGGAGCTCTCCCTCCAGCATCCTCTACAAAAACTGCAGAGAATGGCAGAAATAGGAGTATAAATAATTCAATGTCCAGATTCTGGTCTTTTCTGTAGCACATCCAGCACAAAGTCAAGTAAACATCCAGTGTTGTTCTGTACCAGTCACCTTCTCAAGACACAGCCAGGAACTCACGCTCATAACCTGAAATCAGTAACTAGGTTCCTAAATGTAATCAGTAATCAAAGAAATAAACTAGAAACATAGGTTTTTCTTTTTACTTGGAAAGCAGACCATAGAACAGATTAAACAACAGAGAGAACGAACCTATATAAAGCTATACAATACAAAAATCATGGCGCAAACAGCTAACAGGCCCACATAACATACTGGTTACTTAGCATATTTAGGATTATGACAGCAAATTACTTACTTGGCAGAGAAGAAACAGCTGCCAGAGAAGAAGAATGGTCTAAAAACAGACTTAAAAGAAAACAACCCAAACACAAGCAGCATTTGGAACGCAGAGAATTTCCAGTCTTAGCAGGACCCATTTCTCCAGCACACGTCTAAAATGACAAAGAGCAAAGCTGCCCCACGCTCGAGTGGGGAGTTACACTCCCGCTACCTGGCACTTCTACAGCTCATACATCTGGTGCAGATCAGGAGAGATGTTCCCAGGTATCTGAATACTGGGAAAGCGTAGACTGTGAAAAATGTTTACGTTGATGTTGGCATTAATGTCAACAACAAAGCCCCTTGAAAGTCACAGGGCTGTCACCCATCTGCAGGATGGTCTAAAGCAGCAGCCCAGATTTTATTTGCAGCAATTCCTTCTCGTTATATCTTATGGGCAGTGTTTCAGGCAGATTCCCTGCCATACACCCGATGTGTGATTATTATGAATATATACTGATGAGTCCCAATAAACAATCTGTTTTAAGTGGGCATCTCAACCACTATCCACCCTCGCAGCCATTCTACACAATCCAGTTAGTGCAGGGAATTATAATTCCCTTAAAGTATCATTAATTCATCAGTTTTATCAATGAATTTTATCTAGTTCACATTTTCAGTTAATCCTGTTAGGGTGGGGCATATATACAGAGGGAAAGGAGCAGAATGCACCCCTGCTACCCAGGGCAGTGTTAGCAGGCACGAGCAGTGTCACTCATGGGAATTTATATTTTAAAAAAGCATCTTTTGTGCTGACCGCCTGTGGAGCGAAGACATCGTAGAACACAGGACCGGAAATAATGAGGAAGATGGAGGGTGTTTTGAAATTTAGCACAGTTTTGAATATTTGACTAGAACTACATTTGATGTTTAATACATGTCATAAAATGGCACCGCTGTCTTCTGGTCACTCGATTTGATTATACAAACCAGCTCACATTAATGATGCCATGGACACAATCAGGCATCTGTAGAGCCAAATCTAAAACCAGGGATTATATGAAGTAAATAATACTAATTTCAGAAATACTATTTTCCAATTCTTCTAGATGTAATATTAAGACTACTTATCACCACCAGCAGAAGGCAGATTTACATTACCAAATAAAAATGTGACTGTGGACTCCACTTGCACACCCATAGCATTTTAACGCACATAGCACAGAAAACTGCCAAACGATCCAGAAACCCAGGCTTTAGCATCTACCAGCAACCAAAGCACAACCACTCAACAGCCCCCAATGTGCAACTGTTCCATTATTTTCCCTTGTGCGAGTCAGATTAAGCCAGTTTAGATACGACAAAATGTGCTACCATAACCTATTCCATTTTGCCATGTAGGTACAGGCATTTCAGGCAAACTATTTAGTTTGTAAGTAGTGCTCCGAGTATGATTCTGTTCCTAAAACAGACTCAGAATGCGTACCTCAAGCCAAATAGCTCTAATAATAGAATAGAGCAGCTTCTGGAAACATTAAAACTGCACCATCTCAGGCATGCGAGCACTGACAGCAAGTCCAACACCTCTGGGACATGTCCTGTTTTTTACTTTATCAACATTTTCAGGACACCAGCTTGCAGAAAATACCACTTTTAAACCAGTGGAAAGAGTTTCCCAGAAAATCTGATTAATGCAATGTGAAAGCTCAGACAAAGCAGTTGCTCTCCAAACACTTGGTGTCCTTGTGGCAGTTTAAATGAATTTACTACTCACACAGCTGGGTCATCAGGACCTACACTGCCTTTCATGTAAGTAGAGTAAAAGCAATTCTTTCTGCTCCTGTATATCCCCTTACACCTTTCTAGGCTCCCACTTGGGAACCCAACAATCTGATTCCCTCTTTTCTATTTACTTTAAAAGATTCCCCTATTTTCCATGTGAATTGTTGATGTTGAACAAGCATGATTTGCATCATGGTAAAGGATTCAAATTATGAGAGAAAACTAAAATACCCTCTATTTCTGAAAGGGTAATAAGAAAACTCACAGAAACATTAACTGAATAAGAAACAAACTGTTTTGTATCTATCAATGACTACTCCGGTGCACAAAAATTTAACAGATACGTTACAAAAAAGTATAACCAAGTATACAAAATTTTGTATGAGACATGTACACATTAAAATATATGGCTTAAAATATCTTAAAACTGAAATTAAAAGTTGAGGCATAGAGACACAACAATTCTTGACTGAATCAGAAGTTCTTCACTTAGCTTCTACAAACCAGAGCTGGCAGCATGGGCAAAATTACTGCCATTTTTAAGACTTCCTACTAGGTTTTAAGAGCCATTCACTGCTTTCAGGCCAATGTCAGTGTGAACAGCTACAGCGACAGTTGCAGAGCAGAATGTGTGTCTGCCACAGCGGATCTGGGTCAAAGCAGCAGCGCTATAAAACATCGCTCACATTACCCTGTGCCAGAAGAAACACGGAAAAGAGAACAGCCTAGCAAGCAGCTGTTAGGCCAAAAATATCCCAAGTTGTATTTATTCCAAAAATATTTGCTCTTGGACATTATCCTTTGGCTCCTCTATCCCTAATTAAGGAGAAAAATTTATATAATTAGTCTGTATTTTTCCTGTTTAATCACCACTGCCCTAATATGAATGAGATCTGTGACAATAGCTGAGAAAATACAAAGTAATGATTTATTAAGTGTTTCAATATTTTATCCTGAAAAGGTTACTCACAAGAATCATTTTGTTATGCTAAAGTTTACATTTACTTAAAAACTAGATAGTTTGAAATGCTAAATAAAAAAGAGGCCTCGTTATCAGGAAAAAACACTGGTTTTATTCATTTGATGCCCCTTCAGCAATATCGAGTTTTATTAAAAAATAACTGCAAACTGCACATAAGCTGTTACCGTACAGAAAATACATGTAGTTACCAGATTAGGAAGGGCAATGTAAATCTTGAAAGAACTCTAGGGTTATCGGCAGGGGGATTGGACTGGATGATCTTTTGAGGTCCCTTCCAATCCCTAACATTCTGTGATTCTGTGATTCTGTGATTATACTGCTAAATCCACTGAAAACTGAAAAATATGATCCAACCTCCTGTGCATGTGTGTGTCATGCTTTACGGAAGATTATTTGTGACATGTAAAAGCCTACAGATGCATCATCCTCTCTCTAGTAACTAAACTGTGTCTCAATGCAAAATTTCATAGTATTAAAGAGTGGAAAAAAGAAACCACTTACAAGCCGACAATTAATCTGTCAGGTTTTGGGTCTCCCAGCTACCAGTGTGAGTTACCAGATTAGGAAGGGCAATATAAATCTTGAAAGAACGCTAGGGTTATTATATTGCTAAATCCACTGAAAACTGAAATACATGATCCAACCTCCTGTGCATGTGTGTGTCATGCTTTACAGAAGATTATTTGTGACACGTAAAAGCCTACAGATGCATTATCCTCTCTCTAGTAACTAAACTGTGTCTCAATGCAAAATTTCATAGTATTAAAGAGTGGAAAAAAGAAACCACTTACAAGCCGACAATTAATCTGTCAGGTTTTGGGTCTCCCAGCTACCAGTGTGGCCAACCAACACAGCACATCATCCATAAAGTTCAATACAGATGCAGACTTTTATATTTAATCTTATTAAGACAGTCGAAAATTGCAAACGGACAGCCACTAACGAGATTTGTAATGGAGCCTAAAGTCCACAACTATTTTGTTAATGATATCATTAATTCACATGCCATGCGGATATAGATACCAGTACTTTATCCAGACACCAGAAACATGGAAGTGAACTCTATCTTAAACCAAACATTTAAATAATTGCAACAGTAGATTTTTGCAAATCAGTCAAATGACAAAAAACGAACCAGCACGTAGGCATATATGCATATACACATACACACCCCCTACATATGCATAAAATAATCCTTACAAATATTTTATATGGCTTAGGATAACTTTTCCTACCATTAACTCTTGACAGGTTGAAGACTATTTCTAGGGACACCAACAGGGTAATTTTTGTCCAGGAGACAGGAGTTTTAGAGCAGATTTGAAAACCTGGATGGAAAAAAGAAAGTTCCTGTGCCTAATCTTGGAGAAAGGGGGTGACAGCCACCAACAACATTGGCATTCTCCATGCCTGAGGAATCTCACATTTACATAGAGTCTGAAAAGCCTAAAACTGAGTTTTGACCACAGGACACGGCACTAACCTATGAAAGCCTCTTTCAAAGCCATTCAGTTTTCCGTCTGTTTAAAGGCTAAATTTTTTCTACAGCTCGAATACAGCAGTGTTAGCTTTCCACATTGATTTATAAACACAACAAAAATCCAAGATTGGTATTTTGGCTCCACTGTAGTGGCCTGTACCAGAATCTACAGCCTGGCAACATGATCTTTAGAAGGTCAAACAAAGCAAACATCTAACATCTTTCCAAATAAAATCTTTTAGAAATAAATAAAAAAGGAGGAGGAAAAGTACAGTACACTCACCAGGCGTGTGTTAACAACAGGAAATAGCAATGCCAAGAGGGCCCCATTCAGCATATGCATCTGCAACCTTGGAAAAGAGACGGGACATCATTTTCACGACGGAAATCAAATGCAGTGTTTTCACGTATTTGATGTAGTATCTCTCCAATAAAAGGTCAGCAAGATTTTGCTTTCACTATTTAACTTATATCCACCACTTTAAAACTAGACCCATACAGTGTCTATGGCCTTCAGTGGAGCCCAGTTACAAGTTTAGAGAGGGTAATAAAAAGGTAAAATTACACAAGCGCATACGTTAATCTGTAGAAAGATGCCTGCACTCTCCTCTGTCACTGAGTTAATTTGTGTTGCTAATTGAGGCCAAAACCACCCGTACAGAAGAATCAAGAGTATGTGGCTCAACACCCACCTTTTTCATGGTCTCATTTTTCAATGCAAACAATATGCCTTTCCAACTGGATTTATATCTTAATATTTTATGACTTAACCACTGATTAACTTCTAAAATATGTTATGCAAGCAGACAGAAATACAGCAAGGAAGAGGCATTACCTGAAGAGAATCATTGCAATCCGACATGGAGGGCAGGCAAGAAGAAAAATCTGAAATGTTAGAAACAAATTGAAATTAATGATATGATCTCCTTTAGACTCCATTTTCTGTATCATTCTTTTCCAGTTTTGTCTGTCACAAATCATTTCTCACCAGAAAAACTGTCTAAAAATAACTATCTTTTCCCATACTACTTGCATGTGATTGATGAGAGAAAAAGAAATACTTAATGTTTCTAAGCATGCATGTCCCTCTGTTACGAGGGAGCTTTCAGAAAATAAGTCTGACTTCTATTTTTATGACAGCAGAGAAATCATAACTGGAATATTTATGTTAAAACTTTATGATAATGATAATTTGAAGTGATCTTCAGATGTTTCAGCTTTAACAGTTTAACATCAAGCACTTTCTCTCTAAATACGTATATACTTTCTGTGATAAATAAACCTCAGCTTCTTAAAAGGGATGTTTTACAGGACAGCCTTATATCTGATTTTCAAAGAACTGTATCACAGAGTCACTTCAAACATTATAAAAAGTATCATCACTCTGCTCAGAGTAATTAGCAGTCTTAACATATCTGGTTCATAGCTCACAAGCTCCAACACAAGTGTTCACAGACTTAGCCCATAATCATATTACATTTTACTGTCACACTGGAAATCAAACCCTTTGCCTTGCAGGAGGAAATGGCTATGTCTGATACACCAACAATGTCTTACCACATTAGCAGCGTGGCTCTGAAGCCTCTCTTTTCCTACTGGAGCTCTCAACGTTTTACACACCCAGATGTTAACCCCCCACCACTGACACTGCAGAGCTCTCATGTAAACATGGCAGCATATAAAAAATATTATTAATAATACATTTTAAAACACACTGAAGGAGGCTTCTCTTTGTTCAAGGCAGAATAACTAACTTTCCATTTAGAGGAAACACCAAGAAACACCTTCAGTGCCCTTCCTTACTCTGTCAGATCCGCTTGCTGTTCCATTGCAAACAAAAAGAAGGAGAAAAGAGTTAACTAGAAATCAAAAATGTACAAAAGTAACTGTTTTGAGAGGGAAAACCAAGATCTACTCTGAAAAGATATGCACAAATCTTTGTTCAAAAAGGATGGGACTGAAGGGTACAACAGCAATATTGTCTCTCGAGTAAAATAACTTCAAATATCTAAGCCTGGTTACCACTCCATTCATTAAATGTTATTGCCTCACTCCATTAGGACTCAAAACAGGGAGAGCTCACTGATTTTGGGGGTTTTTTTTGGTGCTATGACTTGGCTGGCTCTCCAGGGTTTTTTTATTTAAATCCATTCCAAACCTCTACAAAATATTACACCCAAGAGCTCCTTCAGAAGTATTTTAATGACACTATTTTTCAGTGAGTACACTGAGAAAGCGCCATCAAAACTTGCCACGAAAGGCTTTTCTTCTGCCAGTCTCAGTTCCGCTGAGACAGGAACATGCGTAACACTCAGATCATCGTGTTTGATCAGAAACAAGCTAAAAAGAGCAAAGACTACAATTCAAAAGGTAGTAGGAGAACAAGGCACACAACTCCAACCATCTCAGATTAAACATAACATGAAGCAGCACTTACAGCATCAGTGGGAACGCTTACAGATGGCTGAGGAGGGCTGTTTCTGGCAGGAGACACCTAAACACGCTACAACTAAAACCACTGCATCTCACATCTGCAGCACACATTGCATTTACTTCTCAAAACAGTCCCCGAGCCGCCTGTTTGATTTAGTATTGCGTTGCAGCAGACTGGAAACAGAGCTTTCTTTTCCAGCATTCCAGTCATGATCACTTAGCCAGGTCAATGGATTATTTTAGTATACTGCTTCAAAATCAAAACTTCAAGAGGTTAAATTTTAATTTCTACTTGAAATACTCAGAGCGATGTGAAAAATTCATGGAAACTGGATTCACCCAAAATTGGAATTAATTTTTTAAAAAAGAAAAGAAATAGAGAGATGGGTTTTGGTCAATCTGCACTGAAATAAAGATTTTCACCCTTTCTTAGGTGTATCAAAGCACACCTCAGAGCAGAAGAGATTAAGAGCTGTTTAAAAAGCTAAAATGCAGTGGTAAGGCTGTATTTCACTGTACATACGAAAACCATTCATTTTCCCCCATGATGGTAATATGTAAGGCAAGGAACATTCAAACAGCTGGAGAATTTTAAAAATATACAAAACTTTGTTAATTATTTCTAAAATTATTATTTTAAGCAAGTCCAAAACAATCACCCTATCATTGATCAGACAGGAATGGTTTAGCAACTCCATCATACAGCTTCAATTCAGCATCTACACATGTTAGATGTCAACTGTTTTTATGAACTATCAGTACAGCACAGAGCAGCTAAATCTCTTAAAAGGCATCTGCTTGCCTTCTGAAAGGTAACTTCAAAAAAACAAGTATCTTAACCGTGGTTTGACAAGTTCAGACTGAAATCTGAAAAGAGAACAGGGATCATAAGATGTTACATTCCCATTGCCAAATAGCAGCAAATGGAACGTATTTAATATTTTAGCATTAAAATCACAGCTGCCTTGCTGCGGCTGTCAGACAGGTTCAGGGATTAATTAACGTGTGCTGTGGAATTGTTAATCTAACGTTAAGAGTACTCCTGATTCAAAGCACTACTGCTGGCAGAGCATGAAGTAATATTACAGCAGTTTGTGTTACATACATCACATACGGTCGTTGGGACATTCTGGATGAGTCTCCCCCTCCATAGCCTTGGTTTCTTTCCTTGACAAACTTGTGCTCACCTTTTATAGTCTTAGGTCAAAGATTCCGAGACTTGTCATATTCTAGGATTAATTATTAACATAAGACTCAGGTCTTTCTATGTGTGCAGTAGCATTAGTTATCACATCTTAGGAATTAGTCTTCAAGAGAAAAAGTGTCACTGTGGCTATTTTTCTTCCTTTTTCTCTAATCACTATCGGCACCAGCCCTGTACCAGCAGTGGGTTACTTCATTCCCCATTCCTAGCTTCATGCTTTAGCAAAACCTGACAATCAAAAACTTATCTGGGGGTTAAAGAACAAAAAAGACTGAATTAAACAAATAAATAAATCAGAAGTAAAATTTCTTAAGAAAATTTAACTTGCACTGAATTTAAATTAATTTGCATTTACATCTGTCAGTGACACTGCAGAAGCCTGCCTGAGTTCACAGTAAGATTCTCACATGCACATTCATATACATTCACTTTTCTTTTTCCCCAAGCATCACGTTTCATATCTGTTTCCTATGGAAGCAAAACCATCGTAGCAAAGTCCTGCTCTGCTCTGCCTAAAGGACCCAGCAATTCCTCAATTTGTAGGATTCTACAACAAAAAATTGTTGTCTTTAATAACAGCAGGATAACAAATATCTAATAGCTTTATTATTACAAATAATTTTTCCCAAAGAAACAGAAACACAATCCAGAAAAAGCTTAGGCATATAACATCGTATCCCTGAAAATTTAAGTTGGCATTTCTCTAACTACCAAAGTATTAAAATATAAACAATTAAATTCACATGACACTAACTACTTGGCAATCTGAATAAATGTAAATCCTTACCACATCTATCTAAAGCCCTGAGGAAGCGTCACGACAAACGCGAGTCCCACTGAACGCTTTGCAGGTTCCACACTGATGGTACACAACTTGTTCTCGGTGAACTTCAACACCGCTGCAAGTGCTGCAGTGAACGTGGTTGATGTACAACCAACACAGTCAAAGTCACTGTGAGCAGGAGTGTGAATATTCACAGCGGTGCAAGGGAGACAACAAAGAAGGGGGTTTTAGAATGGAAAATAAAGAAACTAAATGGAAGAGGAAAAAAGAAATGGGGAAAAAAGCAAAGGCCTGTCTCTCCATAGCATGTTGCTCAAACTACGTATGTTACACTTTGATTGGTATTTGCTTTAAGTCTATGATGGTCTCATCAAAACAAACCAGTATCTGATTATCTAATTATTCATTTAATGGCCTTTAGATAATAACCCTCAGTGGAAATATTTGGGGCAAGACAAAGAGAAAGTTAAGCTTTTTAATTTACTATTTCCAATCATGCAATTCCTACTCCTTTTGAGAGAGTAAGATTACTTCTTGTCAATTATATCTTTTTCTCCTAAGAACATACGGAATAAAGGAGAGAATCTCCAAAATACCCTCAAGCACAGCAAGTATTTCCAAACTCTAGCAACTTCAAATCAAAGACCTAACCTAGAGCTTTAAACTCCACTTCCTCAGCTAGAGCATCCATTGGTAGCATGACGTATTGCCATGATCCCCATCACCTTGACTGAAGCAGGCACATTTTCAGCTGAGATTTACTAAAAATAAGCACAGTGGTGGAACAAACTATATACAGTGTTCAAATTATCACAGAAAAGCTTTTCCTCAGCCCAATAAATAATTATGACATTAATTACGGTATCAGTTAAAGCCTCTTAACTACAGTTGACAGTGGTTTTTAAACACAACAAAATCATTGCTTAAAAATAAATTGTGACAACTGAGAAAAAACTGACGGTTACTGGAACCAAGGACAGATTAAAATATACAGGAGAGCCACAGTTTTGGGGTTTTTTTGAAAGCCAAACTAACAGTTCTGGAGAACAAGCCTTATGAGGAGCGGCTGAGGGAACTGGGGTTGTTTAGCCTGGAGAAGAGAAGGCTGAGGGGAGACCTCATCACCACCTACAACTGCCTCAAGAGAGGTTGTAGAGAGGTGGGTGCTGGTCTCTTCTCCCAGGTGATGGAGGACAGAACAAGGGGAAACGGCACCAAGCTGTGCCAAGGGAGGTTCAGGTTAGAGATAAGGAGGAAGTTCTTTACTGAGAGGGTCGTCAGAGGCTGGAACAGGCTGCCCAGGGAGGTGGTGGAGTCACCATCCCTGGATGTGTTTAAAGAGCGGGTAGACGAGGTACTTAGGGATATGGTTTAGGGGGTAGACAGGAGCGGTTGGATGTGATGATCTCAGAGGGCTTTTCCAACTGAGCGATTCTGTGATTCTGTGATCCCAGCCCCAGTATACAGGAACTGATGATCTGTCTCATTTCCTGTTACTTTATATCTAAGCCCCTTGAGCTGCTATCATCTTTCTAGAAGTAAAATGCACTCTTTTGCAAGAAATAAGGCTTGCCACCAGGAAATACTGGTGCTTTCAGTGCTTTAATTGTTCTTCATCTGCACAACAATCTCAATCCATTAAAATTACTGAAAAACACCTTTGATTTAGAACTGCTACCCTTTAAGAACTCATTAAACTTTTACTTACAGGCTGTTGCTCATCTAACCTAATACCATTATTCAGTGCCATTTCTATAAGAATTTACTGAATTTCTGTAGCCAAAGGTTCTTCATACTCACTCCCAAATAACAGGATATGAACGTCCCTTTAATTTTTATTCAAAGTTTTGAAGAAACAGAATATAGAAAACCATACACAATTTAACTGGATTCTTCCAAATATTACAAAGCATTAAGGAGCAGCGCACGCAAATTAAATCCAGATTCACACTTTTAAAAAGCCACATTTGACCACATGATCAGGTTTTTTGCAAGGTTTACCAAAAAAACAAGAAAAAAGGAGGAAGGACAGGAGGGAGGGGGAGATAACTGATTAGTTATCTATGTTGGGACATATTCCCAAATGATGCCGAATTCCCTCAAGCTATGTTTATTATGGAAGTTCTGAAAACAGCCCACTGTTTCCAAAAACACAGTGGCCTCTTTTGCAGAGGACAGAAAGGACCCAGGTCTCTAAAGAAGCTAAAATCAGAAATAATGAACACAGGATTTGTATTTACTGAACTGCAGACACACTTAGCACTGTTTTTAGTTACGCAAACATCAGACACTGATATTGCCCTTCTTCCTCCAAAAACTATGCAAGAAGCCAAAACCAAGACCAAGACCAGAAATGAGTAGCCCTGTTTCTAAAGAATTCAACTAAGTGGCAGGATGGCAGCAAATTCTCTGAAACTGATGAACGATTAAAACTGTAAACACGCTTCATCCTTGCGATGACACAGCCAAGCTAGTTCTTCCGACTTAGGAAGATTTGACCTGAATACAGGTTGGCGTGATAGGCAGAAATTAGACACCTCATCAAACAGACCCATTTTATTTTGTGATTTCATTTCAGTCTTAGGTCTTTTAAAAGCAGGACTTCTGCTTTTATGAAGAGAAAATCGGAAGGATCATTTCCAGTTCCCAATCTTTTTGGCTCAGAGCCCAGAGCCTTCGTTGCTGTGAGCTGAAATAGTCTCAGCTGAAGAAAAGGAAAACAGAAAGAGAGTGAAAGAAGAGACCTTTCCCAACAGCTACTGTTGGATTCCCTTTGAAGTGATACTGATGGTTGTAGCATGTGTCATCTCCTCACCTCCTACTTTGTTCATCCTAACGTTTAGGCACAGCAGCAGCATTACGTACAAACTACTGTGAGAAAGAAGTGACGGATAAACTATGTTTTCACATATTTCATCTTGCAAACCTGTTATTTCATCTTGCAAACCTGTTGCCCTCAGCAAATTCAGGCCAGAAAAACACCACTTGCAAGATTCCAACTGGTATGTATTGCTTTGCTGCTGACAAAGGTCTGCTGCTGACTATCTCTGTATCTAACCTGTTTTCTCTGCTGAAAGCTGCTGGATTTCATTCTTTACATTAAGTCCAGGCCTATTTCTAATACACCTGTTTGAGGATGAAGAGGCGTGACTTCCGAGTTCTGCTGACATACCCATCTTCTCAAGTTCACAAATGCTGAAACTCCATTTCTAATGAGTACTTAGCATAGGATCATTTTAAAAAGCTTCACAATTCATCTGAAAGGGATTAAGAGCTGTTCATGCCTGACTGCAGAGGTTACATCTCTGTCTTCCTGGAGGAAAGCATTAATAAATGAGGTAAAAACACCAGCTCCTCCATTTATATATAAGCATTAGCTTTTGCTGAATACTTACCATAACATCATATTATGATACTATCTCATGACAACTAAACTTTAAAATCATAATGGTAACATATCCTCACCTTCTTCCTGGAGAATTAATAGAAAAAATTTCCAGTAAACATTTAATACTGCCAAGAAATGGAATGTGGCTATAATATTTTATTTTAATTATTTCTAGACCTCTTCATAACTTCCACTTTCACCTTCATCACCACTACTCACTAACTGACTGCATAGCAATTGTTACCACTTCATGGGAAGCAAGTGTCCTACAGGGTAAAATACCGAGCTGATGTTGCATCACTGCTTAGGAATTTACATAACCTACTAATTAACTTCTGGAACTGTAAGTTAATTGATGCAAAGGTCTTGAATATTACTGCAAGTGCTTGGTTTCCCCCTCTTGAAATAATACCCTCAAACCTCTGGTACAATGAGAAACAATGCTTTCATTCCTGTTAGGAAATGCTCTCCAAATCATCCCGAGTGCCATCGCATGACACATGCAGGACAACCAAGCGATCAG